TCCCAAAGAAAATTCCAGAAAATCACATCATATGAATTTATAAAAATTGATAACCATCTGATGAGGAAAAATAAGCATTCTTTGTAAGTGGGCAAACCTGCAAAATCAGCAAGGGGTCAAATACTTATTTCCCCCACTGTATAGATATACATATATATTTATTGAATTTTTTACCACAGTAATTTGTATATAATTTCTACATTATAGCTAAATGCATCTTAAATCAATGTAAAAAATTAATTGTGTTAGATTTATGTTTGTTAACATGCATCCTGTTAAGAATGACATACTCTTTATCTTCTCTACTTTATTAACTTTGCACAGGAATCTCTCCTAAATATCAGTTAAAATGTCAAACATTGTCTCACGAACAACTAAATGAAACTACTGAAGGATGAAAATAGTATGAAACAAAACTGACATTTTTTTTAGAAATTAGAATTTATTTTCAGCAATCTGTTATCGACATTTAAAAAGTGAGTTTTTTTTTTAGATTTAGATTATTTAGATTTGCTCATATTCGATATTGAATTTAAATTAGAGCTAAAAAAACACTTTTGCGTTCAAACATATTTATAACCTGAATTACACATGTCTTTGTTTGTACAGATTTAGGAATGTTGTGACATTTTATTTTTATTATTTCACATTTTCCGGATAATATAAATACGTAAATGTTCAGGGGAATGCGTAAACAATTCAGTCTGGATGTGTTTTTGTTGGTCCTGTTCACACATGTACTTCACACAGAACATTTTCTATGGATTTTGCATCCTTGCACGTTGCTTTCAAGAGTAATAGAGGACAAATACTTTCATTAGGAAACTTTTTTAGTTTTCCAGCTTGCTGCGGACATTTGATGTCATACAGCTTAATTTCTTTACGTCCAACTTTGTTCTTCTCAAGTGGCTTTCTGTGTCTTTTTGCAGTCCCTGATATGAATCCCACTGGTGTGCAGAGTGACTCCACAGACCCAGAGACTCTAATCATCACATGGCCTGTGGGTACTTTCATATATTGGAATGGCTATTGTCAAATGAATACCAACAAGAGTCGAAACAAATTATTAGAGCAATTCACTCTTGCGTGTCATTACAGGAGATGGACAATCGCTGGCATAACGGTCAGGACTTCCACTACAAGGTGTCCTGGTGTGAGGCCGAGGCCACAAACAAGCAGTGGAGACACGCCTATGTGAAGTCGCCTCCGTTTCTAGTAAACAACACGGAAGCCTACACAGCATTTAAGATGAAGGTTCAGGCCGTCAACGCTGTGGGGAAAGGACCGGAACCCGAGGCTGTTATTGGACACTCCGGAGAGGATAGTATGTCACCTTTTTTTTGTCATTCAGCAGTTGTAAGCTGACAACTTTAAGCCTATGATCACATATTTATGCTGCCTTATGAAAGACACGCACATGAACAAGAAAATAACATCTCTATTTTAAGTATGAAATTCATATTTAACTATTTTAACTGACGGTATAGATATTAAAAAAATTAGGAAGCGATTCTCAGATTTAGTCAATAAATTCTCAGTTTAAGTCAATACATTGTACTTACATTTATTGACGAAAACTGTGATTCTTTGTTTTGGTCAATAAATGTTTTTTTACAGTTATCCCCTTTCCATCTGTATATCCTGGTCCCCAACACCTGACCCAGACCTTGTTACCTTGGGCGATGTCAGAGTTGGTATGACTTCAACTGTACATCTCCCACTTGTTTACCACAAATCAGCTTTTTCCCGTAGATAGATATGATGTTCTTAACTGTACCATCCAAAGGATATGTCCAGTTGAGCATAAATAAAGTTAGAGCTGACCCACCGAGGGCCGTGACTGAGCAATGCACCACCTGGATTGACAGGGTTGACTTTATACCACACACATAAATAATGAAATGCTTGGAGCTCTACACCATCGATTGGACACTAAGAAAACTTCAGTGGGAGCTCAACAGGACCACAGAGGACAACCCTGAAGGCCAAGTTAATCGCTCAAGCAAATCAGACTATACCGAAGACATGCTCTGTTCTCATGATCTTTTTCAATAACCTTAAAAACCCGTTAACCACATCATCACAAAGACTAGGTAAAGGGTTCTAGTTCTGCAGTAGACCAACCATTAACCACCTCCTCCACATGGATGGCATCAAGCTGTATGGCTGTAAGGTCTGAGCCTGGTACCACATGGCTCTCATATAGGATACATTTGGCACAATGATTTCAAAGTCTAGTACCCTGAGACTATAAGCCAAAGCCATCCGAGCAACTATCCAGGATTAAACAATAAAGATCCAGGAAGATGTTCCCAGTAATGACTAGGCAAGTGTCCCAGACACTGGAAAGGTGAGAAAGAAGAGATGGAGCCATCATGGAAGGAAAATCATCTGCGTAACATGTACTACTGACAGACTGAAGGAATGGATGATAAGTCCAAGTCTTACTAATGGTTAGGAAAGGCTGGTCCAGAAGAAAACCCCTGGACACACGGGCAATGGAGGTCTAAAATGTCTCGGGTCTACCACACCAGACAGGATCCCAGATGCAGGCCTTGAAAGTAGGCCTCTGAGACAACCCAGGACATAGTAGTGCGATGTGAAGTTACTGTAAAGTCCAAAAGTCAAACTGGTTGATACCACCATAGGTGGTGGGTATTCACAGTCAAGATCCTTCGAGAACCATTGATCCTTGTCTCACATTCCATTGGTGTTTTTGTCATTTTCTGTCCAGAACCTGAGGAGGCTCCTCATGGGATCTCAACCACTGTGCTGAACAGCACAGTCATAGTGACATGGAACCCAGCCCAAAGGGTCCAAGGCTTGCTGCTGGGATACAAGGTATTTATTGTTACAATCCTCCTGCTAACCACCATAGAAGCAAGTCAGAAATTTGAATTTTCAAGTGCTACAGAGACTATTTGCTGATAACTATAGGATTATTTTAAGTTTAATTCCAAATCTGAAGTCACTTATCTTTAAATCCCCAACCTCCTGATTTTGCCAGCCATCAGACTTGTTTTGTATGCATTATGGGGATTTCAACCACATTAGCTTTGGGGGATCAGTTAGACGAGGATTTGGAAAAGGAAAGTGGGTAGAGTTGAGGTAAAGACTGAAGTTTGAACAAGGAAAAGAGCCTAGCAAGGTTAGGGCTGGAAGAATTTAAGATAGATTATTGAGATGTTCATAACTTTATTATGGAGTAAATGATGAGCTACTCTTACTTCTGATTTAGTTCAAATACACAACATTTTATGCTATCAACATGCACTTTCAGAGACTGCATAAAGCTTTTTTAAAAACTAAATTACTGAAAAATAAACTTGTAGATATAAGCCAATAAGTTAAATCTACTGATAGTTATAGGTCATGTTTAATATTTCCATGCTCTATGACAAGTACAGGAAGCTTTGAATGTTTTAGTAAAGTTACTTAAATTCACTGAGGAAAATCTTTCAGATAACATTGATTATGATAGCCAAATAGAGACATTTTTACAATTCTAAATATAAGATGGGTTTTAGGTGTGGGTCATAGAGACAAATGGTAATGTAGCACATGATGGGCAGATTATTTGATCGGTCATATTAATTACTCTATAGTTGAAGGGACATTAGCCATCATACATAACCCAAAGGTAGCCCTGAAATGTTTATTGGTGGGTTAAGTCATAGTAAAATCACATGTAAACAGGGAAGCGCTCTATAAATATAGGTGACTTGAATATTTTCTGAAATGTCCTTTCAGTGATCCGCAATGATTAGAAATAGCCACTAATTTTTGACAAGAGTTCATGATACATTTGCCTAATTTCAGCCTGACTTATTATTTCAGTTTTGTCTTATATTTAACAAACTTGCTATTGTCTGCCATCCGATCAGATCTACATCAAAAGGTTGGGTCCTCAGACTGGACATGGCCTCAGGCCTCATGGCCACCTACACAACGAGGAGATCAGAGAAACAATGGAGGGGGTCAAACACAGAGGCCGGGACAGCTGGGAGGTGGAGGTTCGAGGCCCAAACACATCCAAAGAAGTGGCGGGTCTGCGTCTCTTCTCTCTGTATGAGCTCTCAGTCACGGCCTTCAACAGCAAAGGGGAGAGCCCTCACTCCCGAGCCCACCACTTCAAAACCCCAGAGGGAGGTGAGTTCCACGTCTGAGCTGTTTTTACATTTGTCTTATGGCTTGTTTGCATTTGTTCCTAACCTATATCTTGGTTGATCTGATAGTAGTTGCTAGAAACTACATGTTTGTACCTTTGCTTGCACCCATTTTCATATTTTTCTGTGGAGCTTTTATTTGTGCATTAACATGAAAAAAAACTGTAGTATTTCAAAAATTTTCCTAAGACTGGATAGGATTAACATGACACACCCCTGTGTCCTTCAAAGGAAAGAATTTTTAAAGCACCAAAATGCACACCTTTCATGTAGGAATAATATGTCCACTTTTTCTAAAAAATCACTATTATTTTCATGTGTAGTTAAAGTTCTACCTACTCTGGAATCCCTAATTGCTAAATTTCAGGGTCACCATAATTTTCTGTTTGATTAAAAACATCTTTATGTCACTTTATGTGCTTTACATTTTTTTTAGGTTATTGTTTGATTTGTTTCCAATTTAAACTGCATTTAAAGGTTAACATATGCAAAATAACATGACATCACAGAAAACTTTTCTCTCTTACAATCTTGGGATGGATGCAATGAATCGGCTGCTATCCTGAGAAACACTGCTGACTGATTTATTCTTTTTTTATGCTTGTTATTCCTCTGTTTCTTATAAATACCAATGAAAAAACACTTAAATGACTGTAAACTATAAGAACCCTCTGTAACTCTGATCTCCTTCACTTCAACAGCACCCGTTAATGTCATGGTGTTGATTCATTGAGTTTTATTCTGTTTATGACACTACCTCTCGGACTAAACAGGTTTAAAATCTATTTTTCTCACAATAATTGCGTTTAAATTGTTACGAAAGACACTGTCAATAAAGTCAAGTGAGTCAAGCAAAGGTGGCATGATGAGAGATTGATAAATGGTATAAAAAAAAGTCTTAAAGTCTAAAATCGCATCCCAGATTGCATTTTCCGAGGATTTTCCATATTCATCACTTCATGTTGCACCTTTCTTGTGTCTGTTCAGCTCCTGGTCCTCCGGCATCATTGAGCTTTGAAAGTCCTACAGAGACCTCACTGATTCTCTTCTGGACCCCTCCACTCGAAATCAACGGCATATTACGGGGATATGTGGTCCAGTATCAGCAAAGTAAGGACAAATGATGGTGATCAGTTTAACTAGGGTTACATGTTTATGTTTGTGCATTTATTTCAGATTTTTTAAATATTGAAAAGCTATAACTTTTTTATTTTACGTGACTGATTTGTGTCTCATCTCCAGATGTGGACAACGGACACAGCCTTCTGCAGATGGAGATAATCAGCGATCCCAATGTGAATCACATCATGCTGAACAACCTGGACCCCCAACACTATTACACTTTTAAAGTAATAGCACGCACCACCACTGGAGATGGACCTCCCATCACCAGAAGGGGCGCCACCCTCCTTAACGGGGGTGAGACTCGGAGCAACTTTATTCTTGTTTTCTAAATGAATAAAACAGAAATTTAAATTTCAGAATGTGCAATAGGAGAAAGCCTGACCCACTGCTTGAGCAGTTAATGGGCCAAAAGGCACAAAAAAGGCACTACACATGTCATATAATGTGTATTTATGGTTTAAAAAATTAATTTAAAGCTAATTTGTGCATGGGGTTCATTGGTGAACTGCAGTGGTCTTGAAGCACAAACTTTATTAGCAAATCACTAGTCACAACTACAAATTTAGAAACACGACAATAGATTTAAAACACTGCGACATTATGAAAAAACACAAAAACGGTAATTAAGCAAAATGGCAAATTACAAAACCCCAACGACATTAACAAAACGGAAGAGGTAGGTCCATGATTTCTCTGGTTTCTGGTTCTGGGATCCATCTCTTCCGTTTTGTTCATGTCATTGTGTTTTTGTCATTTGTAATTTTGTCATTTTTTATGAACATTAAAAAATTGTTCATGAATTTGTAATTACAAATTACAAGCATTTGTAATTATGCTTAGTTAATATTGTAGGGTTTTGGATATGTTGTGTTTCAGTTAAGGTTATTGTGTTTTTGTAAGGTTTTGTAGTGTTCTGGATATGTTGTTGTGTCTTTTTAATATTGTGTTTTCGTCTTTTGTAATTATGCTTACTTAATGTAGTGTTTTGTAAGATTTCATAGGATTTTGGATATGTTTTTTGTGTTTTTTTATGATGTTGTGTTTTGGATATGATTTTGTGTTTTTTATGGGGTGTTTTGGGTATGTTTTTGTGTTTTTTTATCTTGTGTTTCTGTAATAAGTAATTGTGCTTAGTTTAAATTTGTAGTAATGACTAGTGGTTTGTTGATGTGGTTTGCACTTCAGGGCCCACCCTAGTTAACAGAGCTTGAAAATCATTGTACAAATTTATCCCGTGTTCTTTTTATCCACTCCTGTAGTTCCTCCGACCAACATCACCGTGTTGACCGGCAGCACGTCCTTCAACCTGAGCTGGGTGCCCGGAGAGAGACACAGAAACCACGGCTTCCGCATCCGATACAAGAAAAATGGTAAATACAGGATTTTTAGTGGTGCCAGGAGGTTTTATGGGTTTATGAGTGGGGTGGAGGTGAAGGACTGAATGCATCCACAAGAGTCTATGGAAGCTTTTCTGTACCATAATTAGAATTAAAAAGCATTAACAGAAATGCTTTTTCATTTTCAGAATATAGTTGCGTTTTTTACTCATAAAATGAAAACACAGTTTGGATTCATTCATAATTGTATTCATGATTCAGAAGAATTTCTGTTTATAATTTTCAATTCTAATTATGGTACAGAAATGCTTCCATATTGTAAACTTTTGTGTAAGTGGGTGTTACTTTTGTGTTAGAGAATGTAATCCTTCATAGGAGAGGGGCTTTTTACAGACCTGGAAAGATCCCACCTGAGCATTCTGATCAAATTTAAGCGTTAACCTTTACTAGTGAGCACCTTGATTTAAAAAAAAAAGAAAGTTTAAACATTTTTTAGATCTTAAGTGGTCCATATCCTGGTGTGCTTTGGACCTTTAACCCACATCATTCCCTTTCAGTTTGCTGATGCTGAAAGTGAAAAGAAAACCACACAAATTCTCATATATGTCACATTTGTGCACGTTTACGCTGCAGCTGTGCATCACTGGGAAGACTCGGGGGTGGTGAACACCACGCAGGGTTTCCATTCGCTGGCGGGCCTCCAACCAGGATCTCAGTACCACCTGCAGATCTTCCACGACAACAGAACTCACTGGGAGAATGTTGTCTGGACCCTGGAACCAGGTACTTCAGATTATCTCTTAGTTAAAAAAAAGATACCTGTCCTTTTTGATTATAATGTAAATTCTATAAAAGGGAAAATCCTGACATGTTGCTAGCTTTCGGTCACAGCAGGAAGTTGATCTCAACTGATGAACGGTTCAATTCAATCACATTTTGTTTATATAGCGCCACATCACAACAACATTTGTCTCACAGCGCTTTCCAAACAGAGCAGGTCAGACCCTACTCTGAAGTTAACTACAGAAACCCAACAATTCCCACCATGAGCAAGCACTAGGCGACACAGGCAAGGAAAAACTTCTTCGCCTGTTCGCATTTAAGAGGCTTTATCCACATCCTGTGTTTTGTGTCCGTCTTTTTCCCCAGTGCCCTCAGAGATGCCCCACGGTTTCGCCACCAAGGGCTGGTTGGTGGGGCTCATCAGCGCCATCGTGCTGCTGGTGCTGATATTGCTCATTCTCTGCCTCATCAAGCGCCGGAAGGGCGGCAAATATTCAGGTACACTCGTACACACACTGTCAAAAACAAAAAACAACGTAGGATTTATCATTTTGTTAATGACAAAGATTTTTTCCAATAGTTAAGGACAGGGAGGACAAGCAGTTGGACTCTGAAGCTCTACCTGTGAAAGATGAAACCTTTGGAGAGTACAGGTGAGTGGGTCTACTCTTACAGAATAATGTGTTCATAAATGACAAACAACTGAGTGTTTTTCTTCTGTCACTAGATTTGACCCTTTAGTTGTAGCGTCAGCTTTTCTGTCCAATCATCTTCTTTCCATCTTATAAGTATGTTTTATTTTTAAGTTGCCATAATCAAAGTCAATGGCTGTTCTGTAATCCATACTCAGACATATTCAGAATATAAATTTTGTGCTCTCATGCTCCCAGACAACAGTCAAAATTAGAAATAAGTCTTAATATAAGAAAAATGAAGCGCAAAAGTAGAAAATGTAAAAGAAATGCTTCATGAGCAACAAAAAAACGGCAAAACGGTGAACTATAAGTATGAATATCATATGCAATGTAAAAGAAATGGAGCAGTATGTAACAATAATATGATATATCATAATTATCATAATATACTAAGCATGTAGTGTTACCACATTTTTCCTAGTTCAAAGAATTATAGGTATCTAAATATTGTTTTTGCCCTTATGTTTTACATTTGTTTTTTCATATTGTGCTTTAAATGATAGCATTGATAAGAAAAAAATCCTTATCAAACTTCACAATGGCACAACAAAGTATTAGGAAACATATTGATGGGTTAAATGATGGAAAGTCAAAATATTTAGTCAATTGAAAATAAAGTCCTGACATTACAAGATTAAAGTCGTAATATTACAATGGGGAGAAAATGTCATTTTAATGAGAAAAAAAGCTTTGATAGTTATCGAGTTATCTGAGGTGACCAGCCGTGTCTGGCCATGTCACAAGTCAGCTTTTGGGAGATGTGTCTCTATAACACTGATAAAATAACACATTTTTCCATGTAAAAAGAGTTTATTTGCTTATTCTAATCAATTTGTGTGTGTTAAAATCCGGATTGACCCCAGCGATGCTTTGGAGGTTGTGTGACTCTGTGCGCTCAGCCTAACACTTCTCCCTCTCTGGCCCTTCTTTTTTTTTTATCCAGCGACGTGGACGAGAAGCATTCGGCCAGCCGGACGTCCGTGGGCGAGGACAGCCGGCTGGGCAGCGAGGACTCTCTGGCCGAGTACGGGGACAGCGTGGACATCCAGTTCAACGAGGACGGCTCCTTCATCGGCCAGTACAGCGGCCGCGAGCGCATCGCCCACGGCAACGAGAGCTCCGACCCGGCCTCCCCGGTCAACGCCGCGCCCCCCCCCGCCCTTTGCCCCGTCCATGTCGGGCAGCCTACGCAGGCCCAGCTAGACCAGCTCCTATATGCATATATATATATGTATGTATATATATATACAGAAAGCAAAAGAATGGTCATAAACAGACAAATCCCTCACTGTTGGAGGGAAAGAACACACCTGGTCCACACACACACACACACACACACACACACACACAGAGGCAAAAACTGATTGTAACACTAGCTTTGGAAGTGGAGCTTCCTAGGATACCACACCTTTTTTTTTATTTTATCAGAGGGTCCTCAGCTCTTGCGAATTATAGAGCAGAAAGAAGGCGGAAAGCCGGAGGAAAAAGGGGGCAAGCGGCCAGAATGTGCCCTGAAACGCTGTTCAGACTTCACGAGTCCTTAAATTGAGCATAACTTTCAAACATAGCGTCTGTTTGGGCTGCCCTTTGACGCAGTTTGGCTTCGCAGGGATGTGGTGTTCTTTTGTATACAAGTAGGAGTGCTTTCTTAGTAGAGTTTTTTTTTAAAATAAAGTTTGATTTAAAAGAAAAAAAAAAAAAAACATGACTCATAAAACTATTGAGTACAATAGTACTTTGAAAGTAAAAAAAGAAAGGATTGTAATTGGTTGATACAACTCAGCCCAGGGGACCAACATAATGTAGAATAACAAATTGTCTCAGCCAAATTATTTCGTTTTGAATAAAGAGGAAATATCGGCTTGATTTTATTTGCTCGGTACATTTAAACGCGCTTCATCGCATATGGGTTTCAGTCATTGAACGCAACACCAAAGTGTTATTTTGTCATTGTTTACACGTGTTTGTGCGCTCACATCTGGATATAGCTTCATTTGGCCTACAAGTTGAAAGCACGATGCTTTGTTTGTGGAGCTTTCTTTTGGAATTAGTCCAAAAGATTTTCGTTGCCAAGCCTCCTACCTTCTTTCTTTATTTTTCCCCAATTACTTCAGCCATTTCGTCCATTTAACTTAATGCACTAGCATGTCAGAGCTGCCACTTAAAGGTTTTTTTTTATTTCTGCTCTTTGTTCTGACTTGCATGTGCCATGTATCATTTGCAGTGATGTTACATTTAAAGCAATTAATGCAGCAATACGTTGACATTCCAGCTATAACTTTACACATTAAAAGCTTTCATAATTTAAAGCTAAACTAAGCTGTCCAAAAAAAATTTCAATAAAATAAAAAAATAAAATAAATATATATACACATATTTGGCTACATTAATCGCTTTACAGTTGTGGGCCTTCTTCAATACGACTGTTTACAGATTTCACTGATTCAGTTCCAAACCACGGTGAGCCAAGGGCCAAAAATGGACGGAACCAGGGAATTTAAACGTTCCCGTTCTAATCTTCGAATCTAAGCTTTGAGATTGTGACTATTGGTGACAACTGCCTTCTTTTCAAAGTCATCAAATTGCCTTGTTGCTTTTCTGTCATTGTGTATGGTTTTGTACCCCCTCACACACCCTACACACACCCTACACACACACACACACACTCACTCACGTTTAACTTTGTCGCTTTTCTATATATTATCTTCTCGTGTCACATGTAGCTTTGAGAGTGTTTAGATGAATACTAGAGACGCAGTAGGAAACACGGCTGGTGAATATTGCCATACATCCACCCCGTCAGAGCAGAGGGGTTCCATGGACTTCATCATATGCATTGTTTTTTTTTGTTTTTTGTTTTTTTTTTCCAGCCCAGAATAAATTGGCTGATCCGGGGCTTTTATTTTGGTGACCCCACGGTGATCATAGGACTCTATGAGGGTGCTGTAGCCACAGAGGACTGAAGTCTGACAGAGAATGTGATGAGGGGGCTTTGATGGGATGGAGGAAATCCGAAAACCACAATAATCTGTCCCAATGTATCTGCTTGTTGCATTGTGCGCTGTGCTGTCGCTAACAAACTTAACCTGGATTGTAAACTAAATAAACATGGAATACGCATAAATGAAACAAAACCCACCGGGTGACTTCTTCCTGTGTTTGAATAGCAGAATTTTGGAGAAGTTATGAGTGACTGAGTCTTTAAATGTGAAATTCTGGTCCGATAAAAGGTTTTGAAAGCAGAATGCATTTGATGCGCTCTAAAAAAACCTGTCCTCTTAGTCCATTTACTATTTAGTTCTGGTTTATTGTACTATTATTCACCTGGTAAGTATCAGGAAAGAAATGTATTATAAGGTGGGTCACATACATGCATTCATACATGTTGGCATATATGTATGCATGCATATACATATGCATACATCTGCATATACATACATGCATAGATACATACATACACATCAAAATATGCATATATTCAATTCAATTCAATTTTATTTATATAGCGCCCCATCACAACAACAGTTGTCTCGCAGCGCTTTCCAAACAGAGCAGGTCAGACCCTACTCTGAAGTTAACTACAGAAACCCAACAATTCCCACCATGAGCAAGCACTAGGCGACACAGGCAAGGAAAAACTTCCTTTTAACAGGCAGAAACCTAGAGCAGAACCATGGCTCAGGGTGGGCGGCCATCTGCCTCGGCCGGTTGGGGGTGAGGGGAAAGAGAGAGCAAGAGAGAGAGAGAGAGAGAGAGAGAGGGCGAGAGAAGGACAGAGGGAGCAGAGAGAGGCAGCCAACACAGCAACACGTAGACTATATATTGAGGCCTATGCATATATACGTATGCATAGGCCTACACATTTTAGAGGCAGGGATGTGTTTAGCACTTGTCAAAAGAGGGAGTGAGTGTGTTTGGATATATGTGTGTGTGTGTGTGTGTGTGTGTGTGTGTGTGTGTGTGGCTGGTTTGGATAATCTGCCCATGGATCTTGTTCTTTTGTTTGAGACAGAGAGGGTAGATATAGGGTGCCGATATCTCTTTGTTGACCGCAAAAGTAATCAATAATCAATAGCCAAAGCTGACTTCGAAAGTATCTTGCTAGTCAATTTACAATCTTGTCACAAAGTGCGTTATGCTGAAAGAGTCAAATAAACATCCTTCAGTCAGTACCGGAGTCAAGTTTCCTCCTTGGACTCAGTGAGTCAGACAGAGCCCTAAGTACTTCCCTTAGTGACTAACTTGGTTTTCGATTACACACACATTACACACATACATACAGACATAGACACCTGAAAACATACACACAAATATGCACACATACACATCTATCCGTACACATCCTTCATTGATACCTAGTTTGATTTTGCTCTGCTTTCAAACCAAGTCCACTACAACTGTATTTGCAGAGACTTGGAAAAGACACTCTATCATCCACCTTTATGTTGCAAGTAGCAATTATTTCACCCATTTTTCACTTTCAGGAGAAAAATCCTTTGTTATAGTGCCCCAATTTCCAGTGGATATATCTGAGTTTTCACAGGAAGACGTGGTTTGGACTACTTGAGAAGATCGCGGTGGCCGGCTTGTCAGATGAATTTAAAATTAAAGCGTGGGGTGTTGGGCTTCTGTAGAAACTTCAGAGTAGGGTCTGACCTGCTCTATTTGGAAAGAGATAACTGTTGTTGTGACTTGCCGCTATATAAATAAAGTTTATTTGAATTGACTTGAAGGAAAATAATCAAATCATATCCAATAATTGTGAAAAAAAGGAGAATGATTCAAAATAATTTAAAGGCAAATGATACAGTGAAGGAGTTGGAGCAGGATGAATCAGGCCTGCTTTCCTCAGAGGCAGGAAGTTATAGACCAAAGTATCTGTATCGGACATAATAATGCAATATAATGCTATCGGATACTAGCATTATAGAATAAATCCTTTTGTTCCAGCAGTTTTTCTTGTGTACAGACAGCAGCCAGCAGTCATTATCACTCACAGCCTCATTGTCCTTTAAAATAACCCCGTTTCACTGAGAAAACCTTCATATTTTGGTCAAAACTGTTCATCTCAATCTCATTGAGGTTTTTAGGGTCTTTTTCTGTACTTCCCTCTATCTGTACACAGTCGCCTCTAACAGTCTGGGTCGCTTATTAACTGTTTGGTCCGCATTGTAAGTTGCTTTAGATAAAAGCTAGGGCTTCAATCAACGCGTTGCCCTTTTCTTTTTTTTTTATATTTGATTTTTTCAAAGTTTTCAGTACAACAATAATAACACAGAACAGTTCAACATAGAGAGCAGTTGACAAAAATGCAGTTTGTTGAAAATAGCGATGAATCATGAATCATTTTGAGGCACAGCACACTTTACCCTGTAGGAGTCCCATTTTGACCAAAGTTTGTGAAAAATGTCAAGTTTCAAGTGAATTTTGAAAGTCATTTGTTCCATGTTTCTTATTGCAGTCACGGTTTCAATCCAGTTTGAAATGGTGGAGGCTGACTGTGTCATCCATTTCTTAGTTCTTTTTTTCCAGCAGCAAGCATTATATTCCAAAGGTATTTATTTACTGTGTCCATTGCCGCTGTTTTCAGTCCAAGGTAAATCGTCCTGAAGTTGAGGGGGAGCGTTGCCCTTTTCTGAGGATGAATTGGGACCAAAACAATGTTTATATAGTGTAAATATTGAAATTCTAAAACTAGATTTACGTACTGACAGAGCTTCCATAAGCATAATTTGGTCATCTTTCTTAAAATGTTTTTGTAAAATGAGTGTAATACCTCAATTCTATTTCATCAAATAGAAATAAATGACACTTAAACAAGGGCTTTAGCATGATAGCGAAAACAAAAAAATATTTATTTTTGCAAACTTAAAGCAATATCTTTTATAAGAAAATCCTAATACTAAAGTAAAAAAATAATGGAAAGAAGAGCTTTATTTCAACCATGGAACCACATCACCAATATAACAATGAAGAAGACCGTATGGAACCAGAGATACAGGTGAATATGGGAATAAAAACGAGTTGGTGGGGCTGTTATCGTAGGCTGCTGGTGGTGGCCTGGGCTCCCTGGGAGAGGGAGTAAGCGTCTCTGTACTGTTGGGTCCAGCTTTGAGGTTCCTGTTCATGAAGCTGTGATCAGAAACAGAACAAAAGCATTATCGGGGAAAGAAAAAAAAATCTGTTTGACACATTCTAAGAGCTACGGCAAGCAGGAGGCCCCTTAGTCAACAATGAGCTACTTACTTGCCCCATAAACTCCAGGATTTTGGCTTTTGACACTTCCTTGTCGGCACGCTGACCCCAGCGGAACTCATGCTCCAGAGGCTCGGTGTGAGGAATCCGCAGATACTCCAGGTACCTACAGACAACACAAGAATCAGCCGTAGCCTTATGAAAAACATGCCCAAGCACGCTAGTTACTAAAAAATCGTATGGCAACAGTAAAACAAAGTAAGACATGATCTTTTTAAGAGATCTATTCAACGTATATCAAGTGTGTTGAAGCAGGGAGGCATAGAACCTGCAGGATAGAGGTCCTCAAGGACCAGAGTTTGAAAGAGTTGCGGAAATCTTTTTTAAAAATGAAGATTTTTTTTATAGCAATAGGGAAATTGTTAGTTTGAGTCCGTACAATAACATATATGGCATCACTGAGGTACAAACGTGAGGATGAAGACAGAAGTTTGTTCAATAAGGAGCATGTAAAGATCTACATTTTGCATCTTTTTTTGCGTGGAGGCAGCCGTCCGGACAAATTCTGTCATTCCTCACAAAAGCGGATGAAAATTCCGGCCTTTTCCGACAAGAGTTCATCGAGGAGGGTTTATTGGGCTAACTTTTACTTCTTTTTCTTATTGGGGCTGAGATGTGACAGGCTGGCTGCTGTGAAAACAGACGGTTGTGCAAATCTGATGGGGGAAAAACGTCAGACTTTTAACCCTTTAAAGCCTGATCCAAGAATAAAACAAAACAGAAAATTACTTTTTTTTTTTTGTTTGAATTCCTTATTTGGCCTTTTAACAAAATATGTAAAAAGAAAAAACAGAGATACTTTTTTATTATTAATAATTTATTACTATGCGATAAGTCAAGATTATTTTTTGTGTAGTCTTCTGCCCCCTGTTATCAGGTGTATCTGATTGTGTACAATAGGATTTTGAGCAAAGTTTTTACCATTAAATTATGCAAAAGGAGTCAGACGCAAAACATTTCGGAAACCCTACGAATCAAATATGATACATTTGGCATTACAGGGTTAAAGAGAACGCAAGATCAAAAGACCGAAAACGAACCCCGAGCAGAAATTGAAATTTTAGCATTGTGTTATGAATCAAGAAATGCACAAATGTATCCCTAATTTCTACAAAGATACTTTCAGTGACTTTAGAGAGAGGATCATACCGAGGACATACTGCATCTGATGGAAGTCTAATGGTCAAAAACATCCCCGTCAACAGTCAGTTTAATGGCGGTAGGCTTCAGTGAAGCCACATAAATAATGTTAGGAGTTTATACGGGTCCAGCCACCTGACTTTGGTGTGCTGGTTGCCTCCGCCCCCCCGTTGCTCTGCGGTGTGGTATAAACCAGGGTCTATGGTCTGACAGACAATGGCTCTGAACACACCAGTACTGCACAGGGATCCGAACTAATCCTAACGCCTCAAACCACCGACCACCTCTGTGTTTGAGGCCTGCTAACAGATGGTGGATGTAAACAACCTCGTTTTTTCCTGCACGTTCCAACTAAATGTCACGGTTGGACCCCGTAAATGCAGTTTGGATCCCTCTCAACAGTGTGAGTCAGTATCATGTGTTGGCAAAGAGATCTCGCTGACTCAGCGTTCAAAATGATCAACTAAGACGCTGTAACATCTATGTAAAGGTTAGTGTCAAATAAATGTGTATATGTGTATACAGAAAAATAATAATAATTAGAAAAAATATATATACTATTTTTTTGTTCAATGCTTGACACATTCATAAGAGTTTAGACTTGAGATATATATATATGCATGGTGTATATATATATATATATATATATGCATATTTGACACCATGGGAACTACTTAGGTAAGTTATTTGCTCTCCTACAGGCATAATGTTCTGTTTTGGGCAGGCTTTGGGAACTTTTGAGTGTCCAGAAATTGGTGTAGCGAGGGCTTTAAAGAAATGAGGGACGGCTATAAAAATCATAAGAGAGTGAATTTCAGTAACCTAATTACAGAATGTTTTCTGGAGGAACTTGTTTAGGAAAGAGTCCAATCATATATAAGCATTAAGTCTACATTTTGGAAAACAAAAACTGCACCTTGTGTTATTAAAAAGATGCAAAGAGCTGAAATAGAACTACATTTGCTGTACATTTATGAGGTAGTTTCGGAACAAATCCCCTTGGAGAGCTATGGTAAATAAATCTGAAAATCCTAATAAATCACCAGATGATTAACAAGTTCATTCATACCTCTGACGCACAAACTCATCCGTGACAACCCTCCTGACATCTCCAAACTCTTCATGTTTCTCTCTAGAAGGAATTGTTTCAGAATATTAGGTGGGACGAGCAAAATGAAACATGCAAAGTGACCCGATGCACATCCCGTACCCCTGGTCCACGCGGAGCTTCTTCAGAGTGTTCCAGATGAGGTCTACAAAACACAGAAGATTTATTTATTTATGCACAGACACAAAAAAGTCACTTTGGAATGATAAATACACATGTGAACTGCTAAAATTCATTTTAATAGAACATCCATGGCCAAATGATGGAAAACTCACTTTCTCTGACAACACCTCCCTTCATGAAAATAACACTCAGGATCACAAAAAGGAGGCCCATCTTTGGATTGGTGAGCCATCTGAACACAAAGAGGAACAATGTTTTCCCCCTCTGATAAAATACTTGAAGCTTGGTTTACATAGACATGCATTGCAGGTATATGAAGGAAAAAAAAGAATCACATGGAATAATTCCTCAATAATACTTTACCCCTCACCCAAAACACATGCAAAACAAAAAACACAAGAAAAACTGCCGTTTTAGCCATAATTGAGCTTTCTACAGCTTAAGTCATCCCTGGTGTAGCGACCATGAAAGGCAACCTTCGTATGTTAATTACTATTTTTAATATTTACTTTTAAAGGGTCAGTACATATTTTCATATTTGTGAAATTAGATATCCATTAATGAAGAAATAACAGTTTATTTGTACGCTCCTGTGGTTTAAGTTGATTAATGGAGATAAAAACATATTAGCAAGCAAAGGGGGAACTTATCTGTTTGTTCCACATGCCCTGCTGTTGCCCAGGGGGCGACTTTGACTGATACGCTAACACAACTGTACAGAATCTCGTACCTGGCAGGTCTGTTAGGAGCATGCTGGAGATAAACTGGTCTTTTTCTGGTTCAAAGGGGCTGTGCAAGCCATTTTAACATCGTAGATCAGTTTATCTCACTTTATCTGGCCTGTGAGGTATAATTTTGTTTGGTACTTGTGTACTTTTTTTATAGAGATTATCTGTTTGCATGAGCTAATTTGGGTTTGTGGGGGCATAGTTGATACATAAGGAACAACGTTTAGCCTTGTTTAAAATTTTAGAGTAACACCTGGAATATTGCTTCAACTCAAATCTAGACAAAAAAAAAATCTTTAAAGCTCAGCATGAGCAGAGGACGGTTTTATTGTGATGATCATACTGCTGTGTTGTAAAGGTGTGGCAGAAATCTTCTGAGGTCACCAGTTAGCCAACTTTGGCAACTTTTTTGACAAGTCCAGGATTTCAACTTCTGCTAACAAGCACTGTAATCCTGTAAATCTGCTCATTAAGTTCTCAAACTGTGTACAGAGGTGTTCATGTACCTTAAAAAAAGTATTTTTTCACGCACAGATCTATTTCAACCTTTGTTTGATTAACTTAAAAAAAAAATTACAATATCTTTATTTTGATTGTAATCAAATTCTAATCTTTGCTAATGTTAAGATGCTCCGACAGCTGCACAACTTTCCCGTTTCCGTGGTTACGTATCTTAACAGAATGACCATCCGAAGTCTTTCCAGCTGCTCAGCATCACAAAACAACACAAAGAGCTTGATGCATTTTCACCTTGTAGTGGCAATAGAGCATTATTATTCCCAGCCAAAAATAATATAGAACCAAAGTTAAGGTGAGAGGGAAGTATAGATTTAAAAAAAAAAAAAAAAGTGATTTCTCAACTTATATATGTGATACTTACTCATTTGGTGAAGCACTGTCAGTTGTCTCCAAGTTATTGACCAGTATGTACATGTGATTTCTGTTGTCAATTTCAACCAGTTTCAGGCCAAACACCTGGACAAGAGAAGGCCAAAAAGGAGTTTTTTTTTAATGTGATGTAAGGGGGACATGGAGTGGGGAGAAAACTCTTAGACTTAACAAACCTGATCAAAAATGCGTGCTGCCCTTTTTAGAATCTCTGGGTAGATGTTTCTGTACTCTTTAACCACATTTTTAACAAGTTCTGTTGAGATGCAGAGCGAGAGATTTAGTACACTATTCAGTAAATATTTATTTTGTAATTTGTCATTTGAATTCTTGTTCAAATCAGAAGCTGTGGAATTAGATAGTATGCCTTGTGCCAATATTTCTCCTTTATTGTTCAGAATTATGTTGTAGCTTTGGTATCAGGAACTGAAGCCTAAAAATAGTGACCATTTAACGATTTGTTTCAAGTCTAATAACAATAACTTAGCCATAATGTTGCCCAGCTGCAGTACCTGCCCTGCGTACAGGGATCTTCTTTTGGTCTTTCACCAGGAAGTACTGCACCACTTCAGCAGTCTACATAACAATCAGAAAATAGATGGGAATGAAGCCACATTTAGTCACCTTTTGTGTAAACAACCAAACATTTTAACAACCAAACATTTCAAACAGGCCCAAAATGAAAAATTTGGTTATGGGTAACGGCCAAATAACATTTCAGTGAATACCAGAATCAGTTCCATGGACAGACACATCAAGTAAGTAAGATGGATGCCAGTTATTACCTTTTGATCAACCTGTGCCGACGTCACTTTCTCGAGCCCTCTCTGGACCTGTGACGTGCTTGGTTGAGTAAATGTTGCATCCTCAGAATCTCCTTGAGTCATAAAGCTGCCGGACTGCCTCTAAATTAAGAAAACGACACTTAAACATTAAAAAATTGTACGGTATATTCTACTGAGATGACCATAGTTCAAAGATCACCCTCACTTGCCCTTAAAATGCATTAATACAGAACAAATGTGGCCTTACGACTTGAAGAAATTACCTTCAACCAATTTCAATATACTGAAAATTATTATGCAATGAGAATTTTAACATTACCGGTTGGTTAAGGTAACCAGCCAGTAATGTTTTCCAATCTCTTTATAATAACAGATCGGAAAATGTATTGTAATAACTCTAAACAGTATATATTTTAATTGGATACTTCCGATATGAAAATATTAACAATTACATTGGACCATAACTTACAGCTCTTAGCTGAGATTCCATAGAGAAATGTACAAACTCTTATTTTTTCATTTTGAAGTGAAAATTGGTGTGCAACCGATTTTAAATGCAGGAAATAAAATATTGGAAGTCAACATTTACTTGTTTTATCCTAAAAAATTGTTAGGGCCTTTTGAAAGGCTGTCAATATAGATAATTCAATCAACTTTAATTCTCATCAAACTGGAATTGTAGTGTGAATTCCATATCTAAAAGGAAATTTAAAAAAGAGATTCACAATTTGTCTAAGCGACGGTATATGAAGTTTTGTGTAATTTTGACAAAAGGTAAGCTTAAAGTGTGTTTTTTCCGAATTCCTGCTAACGGTCGAATCCTAGCCTCGGTTACCAGAAAAGACGAATCACTTACTTTGTTCTGAGATAAGCTTGGTGAATTGGACAGTCTTTTTCTTTGTGTCATGGCGAAAGAAGTCTGAAAACCACAGAAGAGGGGAAAAAAGGCAGAACAAAAACTTATAAAACGCGTTTAGCTTTAAAAGAAAAAAGCAGGGACCACGGAAGTGGCACAGTGAGCATTTGTATTTAAATATTAGCGCAGTAAAACAACGCAGACTCACAATCACACCGGAAAACACTAACAGTGCCTTGGGACGCTCACACTGACTTCGCGCCTTTTGTTACGTAAAATGTATGCGACGACGTCTTCTTCTTGGGGATTTTTAAGCTACCGAGTAGCGCATTACCGCCATCAACTGGAGAAACGTTTAGAACGGAGGGAACTTCAATACGTTGCGAATCTATTCGCGTCTTTCCGGCTAAGCAATTATTTTTTTCCTGGAAGAAAATCTTTTTTGGCTACACACTGGCTGCATTAGCCTATCAATCGATTTTTATGCTAGCACACTTCAAATCGAGTGATCCCCCTGTCATCACGGAAAAAGGTATTTTTTCATGTAGCTCATTATGTAGTACCTCTGCTATTAATGACGTTAATAGATGTCTACACGAGACAACATATGTTCAGGTTTTTTTAAATAATTAGGGTTGAATTGGCTAATCGGACATGTTATAGAAAAAGATGAGGACACTGAACAGTGGGACGAGTTCGACTCCAACACTAGTTTGGAGTAACCCTTTGGTTTATTAACGTTTACTTCTAAATATTTTTGACACATGTCGTTTGTTTTAAAGTTGAACATTTCTGTACGGCTTGACTTGTACAGCGAACTGAGTAACAGCAATTTGCTATTACAAGATACATTGATTCTTTGACCTTTTGACGCCGATAACCGACTAAGTAACACTTTTTTTAACCTGGCAATGGAAATACCTTTAAGTGTACGAACTAACTTTTTATTCGGACCTTTAAAAATTTTGTGTCACGGTTTTTATTAAAACTATTGTTCCATAAAAAGATAAAATGTTTAAGCGTGGGTACCCATATTCGGGCAGTAGGTGACCGCATAGATGCCTGACCGAAACATCGCGAGAATAAACTGCAAACTGTGCGATAAATTTTCTTTGTGCTGTTCTTTAAACGTGCCACAAAGTCATTGATGTTAGCCTTCACAGTGCTTAAGGGCAAAGCTCCCATCTACTTAGATACTCTTCCAGAGGCTTATGTCACAACTCGGTCACTCCGGTCATCAGTGGATTGTGGTCCGGCAGATTTAAGACCACCCAGAGTCATTTCATGTGTGGTTTGGTGGACTGACCGACCAAACACTACGAGAACTGGGTTGTTCTTGTCTATCTTCAAGAAACTCTTGAAGGCCAAGCTCTTCAGAGAGCATTTCTTACACTATCTCTCACCCTGTACCACACCCCCCCCCCCCCCACACACACACACACACACTCATACACACATTATTCTTCCTGTACTTCCCTTTATCTCTTCAATGTCACCACTGTAGCCTGTAAAAAAAAAAGGCCTGTCTAGTGATTTTTTTCTATGTAGCTTATTGTCAAGATGATGCTAAATGCATGAATATAAACATAAACAATGTGCGATATCTACCATAACATCATGATGTGAACACTGTTTTTAGAGTTGGCTTTTAATCTCATTGTGTGTGTCTAGTGGCAACAAAGGCATTCTGTTCTATTGTTCCCTTTGGTGTGAACTGGCTTCCCCAACATGGGACTCGGTCTTTTAGACGCTATTTTTGGCAAATATATCCCACCGCTTTGGACAAGCTTGGTCCCAAACTAAAAATCTGTATTTTCTCTTCTTTCTGATGCACGTCTTGCTACTGTGCACTATTTTATTTTTATATTTGTATCATGTTCGAATAAATTTCATTTCATTTCATTTCAAATACCCTCCATCAGATAGATATAACATACCGTAAATATTTCCACAGACATATTACATACATATAAAAATCATTCAGTTATTTTTGCATTTTAATTATGCTATTTTTGTCTGTATACAAAGATGGTTTGTTATCCAGTACTTGAATTTGTTCTTTTAAGTCCTTTAACATGACATTATTTTTCATGTGACAGATATATTTAGTCCCTTTTTAGCCCCATTTTCCCTTTGACAGAGAAGGACTACTTCTATAGACGGTAAAAGTCCTGTATTTACCATTGATTCATCAATTGTAAGCGCTTCAGATTTGAGCCTTTTTCTAGTAATAGCCTTTGTACTTGCTGCCAGAAGCACTAATAGCAGATTTGAAAAAAATAATTTTATCAGTTATCAGTTCAGGGCTTCCCATTTACAGGGTATCACAAATATAATATCACAAAATTGCTCCCAGAATAGTCTGATTACTGGACAACCCTAGGAAATATGATAATGATTAGCCATATTTGACCCTCTACAAAATATTTTTGACATCTATAAAATATCTAACTTGTTTTACCAGCAGAATTCTCTCCATGTGTTGGAGCTCGATGCCATCCAGTGTCATTTGTTGATCCCTTACCAGTAACATTTCCTTCTTTTACCCACTTATTTCTGATGTGGTCTGTGTTACCCGGTTTAGACCACAAAATACTGTTACATAGCCTAGAAACAAGTTTAGTGCATGAATCTGATTTCAACAAAGACAGACACACGTTTTTTTTTTTTAAATCCCAGTTTGGCTGTTTCCCAATACTCTCCTAAATTTGGATTAAAATAGACCCTAACCTCTAAATTTCTGTAGAAGTTTAGTCCGCTGAAGTTCCTCTCAAGTCCGAGACGCCCCCTTATGGGTTAATGTGTAGTAAGTGGTTAATCCTTTAGGGATCCATCTATTAAACCTCCCATCCTTCTCGTTTGGTTTAAAAGCCGAATCAAATGCCCACTGTCTGTGTTATTTTAATGAGTAAAGCCTTTGACAAAAATAGAAAAATTGTGTCTTTGTGCCTTGACATGAAGTTTTTGCTTTAGTATCCTGCAGCAAAATGAAATGAAAGCTCAGGGAGACCAGAAAATGTTTTTTTTTTATTGTTGCACCTTTACCAGATGCTCAGTACACAACTTAGCCGCGACTCTGCACTAAGTAAGCTCAAAATCTATGTGTAAACATTTGAAACGTCCTGAATCTGCAACGTTTTTTAAGTCTGTTTGCATGTGGATGAGACGGCGAGCTGCAGGCATAGTTTGTTTAGCAAATCTGTTTCATTTATTGAGTTTGATTCTGCTCTCTTTTCCCTCTGTGATGCTATCTGATGACAGTCAAATATGGATTTGCAGAGCATGCAGAAGCATGTTTCTGACCCTCCTGTCTTGTCTGGACTCTTAGAAAAGCCTTCTTCAGATGGATATGAATAAATATAGGATTCTTTCAGGAATAGTCCAGCAGAAGATGCTGTGGTTGTGTTCTTTTTTGCTGTTTCTGAGGCTGTTTTGTGTGGACGCAGCTCCTGCAGATCGCTGGTATGCCCCTTGAGGTGAAATGGCCCTTCCCACACTGTCCTTCTCTCACATGGAGGATCTCAAGCTCGCTGGTCCTGGGCATGGTGGGCTCCTATTCCTACTTCTGGACCAGTAAGTTGTCATTTCTGTAAAAAAGACAAGCTCATTTGTCCTTTTTTTAAAAGCCTAAAATCACCTTTGCCTCCCCTTGTTTTCCATTATTATTCCTTCTGCAGAGTACATGAACCACCTGACAGTCCACAACCAGGAGGTTTTGCTGGACCTGGTTGACCATAGGCCTCCCGGCACACCTCTCATCACTCTGGCCAATCATCAGTCCTGTATGGACGATCCACACATCTGGGGTAAGAATCGAGAAACTCTCTGAAGCTCGCAGTTATTTTAGTTTAGAGAAATCACCATGAGCTACGATGGCTGAGAAGTGCAAAACACATTTACAATTGAAAAAACACCTTATGATTTAAAAAAGCTGAATACAATTTTGGGATACACATTTAAAGTTCAGAAAACACATTTACGAATTAAAAAAACATAACATTTTAAGAAACAATTTTTTTCAAAAATGTTTGTTTCCTAAAAAATTAAATTGTTTCTTAAAATGCTATATTGTTTTTTCATTTGTTCATGTCAACGATTTGGGAATAAGCAGTTCACAAAATGGATGGATGTGTTTCTTAAATTTTGAATGTGTATCTTACAATGTTATTTTGTTTTTTAATTTTTCAACGTTTTCTTTCTTTTATTGTAAATGTGTTTTGCACTTCTCAGCCACCGTAATGAGCGGTATCTCTCACACTGCAGGAGGATTGTAAGGGACCAGACTTAAACGAGGACGAAAGGTGTTCCGAAAATGAGAAAAAACCTCAATTTATTCATGTCAAAATGATGAAAAAAGGGTCAAATGTCAATACAAAATTACTCCAATAATAAATAACTTAGATTTGAGCCCAACTCAGCTGAGGTCAACCAAACAGTAACAAAACTGACCTCCAGATAAAGAACCAAGGCTCCTGAAACGGGGGTGGACTGACCTAAACCTCCCACAAACCAAAAAACACAAAAACCTAACCACAAAATAACCAAGGACAACATAAAAAAAATAAAGTCCCCCCCTTTTTGGGGCAATGGTATGTTCCAAGGCTTCCATTTCCAGATGGTTTGTAGTTTGTAAAACTTTTTGTACTTGTAGTAAAAGTGTCCTCTTGATTGCTCGTGTGTTTAATTTTTTTCTAATGCTTATACATGTATATTTTGTTCGGTTCCACCTCTGTTTTACTGGGTAATAAAGCTAGCTCTGGGTTGTGGTGTTTTTGTTTTACAGGCGTGCTGAAGTTCAGACAGCTGTGGCAGTTCAACAAGATGCGATGGTGAGTTTGAGTTCCCCCCACAGGCATTTTTACCGGGCTGTTTTTGGGTTTGTTCGGATGGCCTCACCGTCTTAACTTGTCTTAACCACAGGACCCCCGCCGCCTCTGACATATGCTTCACAAAAGAGCTGCACTCCAGGTTCTTCAGCCGAGGAAAGTGCGTCCCCGTCTGCAGGGGTGAGTCTCAGAGCTAACGGGGGCTTTATTCTAATGAGCGATTTCAAACCGTCTCCTTTTGTCTTTAGGGGACGGCGTCTACCAGAGAGGGATGGACTTTGTCCTGGACAGGCTCAACGGCGGAGAATGGGTGCACATTTTCCCCGAAGGTACGTCCAAAGCCAAGTCTTTTCCTTCTCGCCGTCCTTTTTTTTCCTTGGAATGATCTCTTCCCGCGTTTTTCTTTGTTTTAAAGGCAAAGTCAACATGTCGGACGAGTTCATCCGCCTGAAATGGGGTGAGTGCAGAGCATCTGCGGACGTCAGAGGGCCATAAAGGACACAGACGGTGACCGGATACAAACAAAATAGTGCTTTGAGAATTGTTTTTTCTTTTTGTTGTTGCCGTAAATGGAAAGTAATGCATTCATACGAGCATTTCCGTGTGTTTGTTGTAGGTGTGGGTCGGCTAATAGCAGAGTGCTCCCTCAGTCCGATTATACTGCCTCTCTGGCACGTTGGTAAGCATCCAACTAAACTATGAACCACATTTCCCATGAAGCCCTTAACTCTGCACACCGTAGTCACACCCATTAGAGTTTTATACCCTTTAAACTAGTGTTTGTAGCATTTACTTTGGGCTTTTTTCATTCTTATCCTCCTGAGAGCCCAGCTTTTATTTGGTTTGTATTTTTGCTTTTTTTCCAGATCTCTGGATCAGTAGGAGCTGATAAGTTTAATAACTAGACTTTTTACTGGTACAGGTAGTTTTTATTTATATAGGCTCAGTGGGTTTATCTTTAGATTTAAAATGTTTGTTTATAGATTTAAATAAGTGTTTTTGGAATTTGATTTTGAGGGTCCAAATGACTTATTTACAACATTTTAAATCTAAAATAAGAACATGATTGGTGTAAAACGTCTAAAAGCATTTTCCTTTAGATCTCAAACAGTAGTGTCTGATACGTCTGCCATGAGGCCAAGAGGTCAAAGGTCAAAGAAAAAAGAAGGATCCTGGTACAGAGATGCAGAAATGCAGCGTCCTCACATAGAAACAGGCTCTCAAGAGGTTTAAGGCTTTTTATTCTTATAGCTAAAACTTGGCCTAGCTATGAGAGCTCATCTGTCAGTTCAAAATAATGTAACCAAATATAACCGTATAACCAAAATATCTGGAGAACATGTCCAGTAAGATGGGATGTCCAACACCCAGCGTCTGCTTAATAATAGCCCACAACACCTTAAAATGGGCAGTCGGGGTTAAAGGAAAAGACACATAAACAAGCACTGCCTCACCAGGCCAGGGAGTGCTGGAAAAACACAATAGAAACCATTTTTATGGAGAATTTCACAAATGAATTGGCTTAAAAAAAACCCTAACGATCCTGGAACTGAAGTTTTTCCAAGAAAAAGTTTATTTCACACTGTGGAATTTAGGCCGCGCAACATGTCAGAGAGCACCTTGATAGACGGATTCCCTAAATAATAGGCTGTTGGAGCCTTTTTCTGTTGGTTTGACCTGGTTCTTTCACGTCTGAGTCTTGCACAATCTACTCTTGTCTCAGGTCTGAGCGATGTTCTGCCAAACGTGAAGCCCTATATTCCTCGGACTGGCAAAGTAGGACCATCTCACTTTGTTTTTCTTTGTTTTTTTTTGTTTTCATCCAACTGGCATGATTGGTTTCTGTGTTTCTGGTCACTGAGATTGGGGTTAAAGGTGTTGGTCTCCTTCCAGAGAATCACAGTCCTGGTGGGGAAACCGTTCAGTGTAAAAGAGCTTGTTAAATCCCTCCAAGATGAGAACAAGAGCCAGGTGAGGACAAACCAAACACTAAATGTGCAGTAATGTGTCCAGAGAACGCCTTTGTGTTCTCAGAACCAAAAAATAAAAACTGAAAGTAAAAGAATAACGTTTAGTTTTTTTATAAAAATCTCAGAGATGGAATTTATTTAATAAAACAGCCCAATTAATATTTGTACCTTATCCTCTTGTATCCATCCTCCTCTTTTTTTTTTTTTAGGTTTTAGAATAAATGATTGAATTAAAAGGTATAATATAAATACATTAATATTTACAGTATTTTTTAACCAGGAATGGAATTTTTTAACCTACCGTTTGTTGTAATATTAGTCTCAGTACAGTAATATCCCATTTTAAGTTTAATTTGAACTATTTCAATAAAGTTTTATTTATATAACACCAAATGACAAAGAATGCTGTTTCTAGATAATTAAAAATACAAACCAGTTGAGGCCAATTTGAATCAAATTCATTGTAATGTAGTCAAAATCCTATCAAGTGGCATTCAAGTTCATTAAAGTAAAAAAGCATCCAAGTCATACAGAACCAAAACAATCCAAGACCAAACGAGGAGAAACACAATATTAATCATGACAACGTCTCATTTGCATGAAGAAAAAAGGGAGAGAAGAAGAACTAGAGCGATTTGATAGCGAGACAGGACCACCACGGGGTGATAAGCAAGACAAAATTAAATAAATATATCAGTCCCTGCCAATTTTTTTAAATTCTAATGGCATTTTTCATTTAATCGTGCTTTATACACAATTTAAGAAATTATATCGCTGTGTAGGTCACATTTCTATGTACTGTTTTCTGGGGAAAAGCCCAATAACATTTTATTTAATGGAAAATTATGTACTTTTCCCTGCAGCTTTCTCTTCGCGTTTCTAAGAAATGTGAACACAAACGTAATGAAATCACATATTTTCAAATACAAACCCAAAGTTATGTCCTTTTGCTAGGGCAATAAAACACTTTTTTGAATTTCAAATAATATTTCAGACTGGAAGTACTACGACAATAAGAAAATTCAGTGTTGCAATGCTTACAAGGGGACTTCGTTTTTTAATAATCCAGTTTACTATCTGAAAGACTTTTTAAAAGAAAAACCTCTGTGACACTCCGGTACTGTATGGTACGGAGAAATAGTCAAATATGTTTGTAAATAAAAAATTTCTTTAAGAGGACATTCTAGTATTTAGATTAATTCAGAATTCATTATATATTTCATTATCTAATGATGTATTTGATTTAGTGGTAAATTTAATTATGTTTTTACAATTATTGTGATACAATAAATGAATTAATGGGAGATTTACATGTATGTATTCATTCCATGACATGATTTATTTACTTTTGTCACCCTTATACCTCCATAGGCGGTCGTTCTCGGTTCATAACTTGAAATAAAAAAGATTTGGCCTACATTTGTGTGCCAGTGACAACACTTAGTGTTGGTCTATTTGATATAAAACATGTAATTTGTCTTACATTTTATGTTATCTTGATTTAATGATACTTGTTTCCATTTTCGTATTTACCTTTGTACAAGGCTTAATACACTATTTAGTTAAACCTATTTGGTACACCCTGCTGGAGGCCATAATACATGTTCGTGTCCATTTTTTTTCAGAACATGTATGAAGCCCTTTAAAAATAAACCAGCTATTGTTCTGAATTCTGTTGAGCAAATAGGGCTGGACATTATTTTGTGTTTTCTTTTTTAAGAAAAAGAAAGAAAAAATTGTTATAACATCCGATTATCGTTTAAAAAGATAATCGAGACTTTTCTTTTTTCTTTTGTCCACACCGCCCAGCCCTACTGATTAGTTTCACCTGGCTTCATAGATAAGGACCACTGAGTATCATCAGCATGACAATGGGGATTGTTTTATGGAAGCACTTATGAGGTGGAAAGAAATTGGTCCAAGCACAGAACCCTGAGGAGCTCCCTGACTTACTTTACTATGGGAGGAAGATACTCCGTTTACATGAGCAAATGCGACTCTGTGGGATGAATGTGGCTTAAACCAACACCATCCAGTGCCTTTAACCCCAGTTACACGCTCAAGTCCCTGTAACAGACTGCTTGTACAACCAGATTGTATCCGAGATCCAACAACCTCAGACAAGAGTTCACAAGTAAAGGCTAAATGCTGCACTTTTTTAGTAAATACTTTTTTTACCGAATTCTGAGTTAGAACCAGGAGGAGGATGCACAACAGGCTAGGTTTTTAAAAAGATCTTATTCTTATTCTTAAAATCTTGGGTCTTGGAGTGATTAAGAATCCTGATTTGAAGCTAACAAATTTGTTTTGTTGTTTTGGCCGGACGCACTAACCAACATTCCAAATTCTGAAATACTTTTTCCAAAGCTTGAGACAAAATTTTCATTTGGGAAAACAAAATTTCAGAAATCAAACAAACAAATGAATCTTGAAACCCTTTAACAAACAACAAAGTCAACTGGAAATGGCAGGTACTGACCCTGAGGCTGACCTGGAAGTGATGACAGGGGAGCTAACAGCAGCTAAAGCTGGACACACATACTGGTAGATGAACACAATTTTGTTTCATATTGTCTGTCTTTAGACGTTTTATTTAAATTGATTTTCTGTCCATCTTGGGTCAATATGAACTCTCCCGTCGTCATTTCTGGGTCAAACTTGGAGTTGGTGCTTTTCGGTTGATTTAAGATGAGATAAGAACAGTTTTGCCAGGATTTCCATGCAAATGAACATGCAGAAGGAATCATACAACACATAAAACTAATAAAATATAAAAATAAAGCCATTAATTTAGTTGTTTAAGTGTTTTGGGACTTTCCTTTTGTTAATTTGTTTTATGAAATGTTTATTTGTGTCAAACTTTTGAAAAGTGTATAAGAATTTTTTGTGTTGGTTGGCCCCTTTGGGCCACCGTAGACTATGGTTAGAGGAACGTAAACCTTTAAATAATTAGGAGTAGGCAGTTCTCTGTTAAACTTTTTTTTAAAAACATCATTATGATGATTACCATTCAAGTTATTTACCTACTGATTCTTGGAAAAGAGATGTCTGATATCCAGCAAACCACATTAAAGGGTTTTATGTTGTTGTTTAGGTACATTTAAACACACAATAATAATGACACGATCACTTATTACTATGTTTTAGAATAGGAGAATAGATTTAAAAACCGATTACATTTGAATGCATTGCTTAGCCCGCTGCTTTCTAATCCATGCTATTTTTATGAGATCAAATCAATTATAATAATAAGTAAATGATAATAAGTAATAGTAATTTATAAGTGAATTATTCTTATTTTTTCCTAAATGACTGAAGTAATGAATTGATTATTGATTATTTGCCTTGTAAATGTCTGATCAGGAAATATCGCAAGCATATTTTTTCAACATCTTTTTTTTTTTTTTTCTGAATATTTCTTAGATGGAAATGAGGAAGACCTTGACTGATTTAATCCAAATGGAGTTCTGGAACCTGAAAGCCCAGGCGGAGGCTCTGCACGGACAGATGCAGACCCAGTCCTGAATCCCACACAGTCAGCATTTCTTCACACCCTTCTGGACTGACTGGACTTCACTCGAGGATTCTGGGATTTGGAGTGAAGGGGGAAGAGTGGGAGGGGTTTAGAGCGGAGCACTGACCCCCCCCCCCCCCCCCAACGGACCTTTACAGAACTTCTTTGATACGACTCTCCTGGTCCTGAAGTGCAGTTTTTTTTCACAGCATCTGTTTTTCTACATCATAAATCACTGTATAAAAGATGAACACTTTCTATTTTTAATAATCAGGATACTAAGATTGCTGTAAATTCACAGTAAAATCAGTCATATACATCTGGCTGTTTTCTTCTTTTTCTGAGCCGCTACTAAAGATGGAATCAAAACTGATGTTTTTCAGCAATTTTTTACAATTCCTTAATACTTCATTTTACCCAGACGTTAACAGGTTTTGATATTTTCCCTAAAGAGGACGTCAAGAAGAAACTCTGCACATCTCTCGTGTTGAACTGGGCACTTCCTCCTTGCCTGTGCATGTGTGATTTCCCTCAGTTTACACCGGCTTCCTGCCACTGTCCGAAAATATGCAGATTAAAATGACTGAAAATGGACGGACCCTTACCCTGTGTGCATTATCCCATTATCCTTGCATAAATAAACATGTTTTATAAGTGCTTGAAGATATCATCTTTAAGAGGGAATTCATTCACTGTGTCTGTATATAAAGATATATATATATATATAGATAAATAAAGTACATCTTATTTAATATCTTCAGGTTTTCGTAAATGGTTAAAAACATCAACCTTTCAGAAAAATCTGGGTGTGGAATGTTTTATTTGAGCCACAGAAACAATACAACACAGCAGTGGAATGTTATTATGTTATTATGAAACCAAAACAATTCCTGACAAAACACGGACGACTTCATTTGTTATTGAACACCAATCTCTGATCTATTTACACAATCTGGACCCGGAAAGACACACGAGTTACAGCCAGTCCGACCATAGCATGAATGGAATTATTCATCCAAAGATGTCACACACAATCTGCAAACACAACCTTACGCATAAATAACAGCCATTTCAACAATAAATAACATTTTGTGTTTAATTTAATGCCATTTAATCTTATATTAAATTCATTAATGAATTCATTTCTGTATCTTTCTCACTGGTAAACATCAGTCAATCTCAGCATAACTAAACTGGATCCATTTCGAGTCTCCCAATTGTGTATATTAGAATTATTCTCAAAACTAATGTCCCTTTTTGATCGGTTTGAAGGTGTTTTACAGAGTTTTTAAATGATGCCACTACAAGAGAGAAAATAACCGGGAGCACCTGATACATAAACTGATAGAGACTGACGGTCAGTTCTAAGTACGTTACCACAACACCACCAATGAATCTGCAAAAACACTTCAAAACTGGAGGAGAACCCGGGGAGGGGGGGCTGGCGGGCGCTTCACTCGGTCTGGGGCACGGAGATGGCGGGCCCTTTGGGGTCGTCGAAGCGGTCCATGGTGCGCAGCTGCATGATCATGTGCAGGCCGTAGGTCAGCACCAGCACCATGAGCAGGCTGGTCAGCAGGCCCATCCAGATGCCCGGCGAGAAGAAGCCGGCGCAGTCGCTGGCGTAGGAGAACTCACGCCCGCTCAGGTTGAAGCCCTGGATCTGAGAGACAAGCACAAAACACAAATGGAATTCTGAATGAAATACGGTTTTAGTCCTTTAAAAGACAAATCGGACATTTTCGAGAGATTTAAAACCCATTCATCCACACAAACTGTGGAAGAAAGAAAGAAAATATCTGAATCACAGACTGATGTTAATGATATTTTGTCCATGAATACTTAATAAATATTTCCAAATTGTCTGTCCGCTTCCTTTCATAGCTTTTCAGACATGTATTTTCATGTTAAAGCATTTAGCCAATCACGTTTCAGCCATCATTTGTTGCTAGGCAGGGTCAAAGTCAAAGATGTCTGCCTGGAGGCCTTCACAACAGAAAATACATGTCGACTAAACTGTTGCTTTAACCAATCAGATTTTAGTTGGGGACACCAGGGCCTTCTAGAAGGCCTTAGGCAACGTCACCGTATTCACACCCGCTGATTGGATAGTCAGATAGCGTACCTGCCAAAGCTAGCAAACCAACCGATTCGGTTCGACATACAACAGGGAAGGCTGGACTTTCAGATAGAAAAGGACTTCTTGATGGAACTGAAGTGATGGATAATCTGTATGACAGAGTAATTTAACTCTTTTTGAGTAAAGAGAGGATGGATTTTGTCTATAAACAATCCGAATTTTTGATAAGTAAAATGTTGCCATTTCCTAAATAATATTGCGAGTTTATGAGGATATTATTGATGTGTTGTTTTTTTTGGAGGGGGGGGGGGGCTCCAGTAGTAGAAGACTTGTTTACCCCTGATCTTTATACTGTATTTCTACATAATAAGATGATTTTTATAACCATAAAATAGTTATTGGGGGTGAATTGATTCAGACGGAGCACTACTGAAGGCCTAGGTGTGAAATGCACGGTCCACTACTGATAAATATACATGAAAAATAGTTTTTATTACATTATTCACAATCTGTGGGAGCCCAGTCTGATTAATCTGTACTCTATGAATAAGTGCCTTCTGTTTCTTTTGCTTAAGTTTTATTTAAATTTTGAATAAATAGGATTATTTAATTGGATATTTCAAACTAAAACGAATTGAATTGTGTTTATGTTGAGTTATGTTGTGTTTTGTAGAATTTTCTTTGCTAAATTCATGGTAGAACAGTTAACAGGTTACTGTCACTTTAAGAGAAGAGCAGCACAAGCTGCCAGAGTGGTTTTCTCACCCTGTTTATTTCAGAGGAGAATTAGGGTTAGGGTTAGGGTTAGGCTAGTTCAATAAAATGACAATCTCACTAAATTTATGCGGGTCTTTTTTCTCCTGCTTCATTAACATCGTCAATTTAAACATCAGTCGAGAGCCTGTTGCTTTTGCCAGGTAGAGGAAAAACTATTCAGAGACTGTAATAACACTGTGGTCGGGTTGTCAAAAGTATCCATACTCAAAAAATTATAGATACTAAAACGTTGTAGAAAGCAGGAAGCCAAGGATGGATATCCAACTCCACCCACATCCAAGTCGGCCATTTTGAATAGGTCACCAATAGGAAGATCCCAGGCAAGAAAGTCCTAATTGCTTCATGGCAATATAGACATTAATTTAAAAATAGTGAAATGAATCTTGCAAACACTAAATTCAACTCTATCCATAATATTATGTTAAAATAGTGGATGTTAAATAGGTTTGTACAATAAGTCCAAACAAGTTTAACCAAACAATATTTATTTCTCACTATTATGAAGGGTCAGGGTCAGGGTCAGGGTTAGGGTTAGGGTTAGGGTCAGGGTCAGGGTCAGGGTTAGGGTTAGGGCCATTAATGTGAGCCACCATAACATCAGTAACAGGTCAGTTTAAGACCAAAGACACTAACCTGTCGAAATTCAGTTCAATTTTGGGGTCTTTGTTTTTATCCTTGTGGTATTGAAAATGGTATCGAATATCGAATATTTTCCTGAGTATCGGTATGGAGCTGAAAGTTTTAGTATGGTGACAGCCCTACACTGTGGTATCTAATCCGTAACACTCACCTGAAAGTCCTCGAACGCGACGCGCCACTGGTTGGCGGGGTCTTTGGCGGAGCGGGGGACGAGCTGGGGCCAGCGGTAGCTGCTGACCGACTGGCAGCGGTAGGAGTACTCGGCCGGGGCGAAGACGTGCCGGCTGCCGTTGAAGGTGGCCTTGGTCCCGTCGTACTCCAGCTGCACGTGCTCCAGCGTGAACCAGCGCCGCGCCGACACCTTGTAGTGCCGCTGGCTCATGGCCAGGCTGGAAAAAGACCGAGGCCGGACAGGGGCGGTCAGCGCCGGGCGGCTTTACCGTCCACCAGCGCCCGCCTGAGCTCAGACTTACATCAGCTTGAAGCTGCGGTGGCCCAGGACGTTCTCGTAGTTGAGCACCAACCTGAAAAAGAAAGCAAACGTTATTCGGGTTTACGCTGGGGTTGATCCATCCAGGGAGCCAGACCCCCGGGGTCAGCGGGGTGGAGGGGGATTCAGAGGCTTGACCATGAGCTCGAGCGGCCACCCGGTGAAGGAAAGGGAGAAACCTCTGGCAGGAAAGGGTCTAAGTAGGTGGTCCCAGGCAGACTTGACTGACAGAGAGCAGGAAGTGGAGTTTGGAAAGATGGGATAGAACTGGGTAGAATAAATCAGGGCGTCCAGGAAAGTTCACGCTCTGGTGTCTGCAGTTTGGATTGTTTCAGAGGTTGATGTGGTTTTTATCTGTGTATGAGACATAAAGGTCAGTTAGCTCTCACCTTAGGAAGTGGCTAGCTGTTCGTAACTGGTAACTAGTCCTATGGTACTATGTGAAAAAGGCATTCTCCAGCTCCCAGCATCTAGTCTAGAAGAGGAATCCAATTGTACCAATGCTAGGAGAGAACTCCTGTTAGCTGGGAGTAAAGACGCTGGAGTTAGTTAGGTGATTCCAAACCCAACCAGGGGCAGGAAGTGGAATCCAGGAATGGATGCCTAGGAGCTAGTGATGGCGAGATGAAGCTTCATAAAGCTTTGAAGCGTTCCATCCAATTGGTTCACTCGTGTGTTGAAGCTTCATGGCGCTTAATTTGCTCTATTTCCATCAAGTGGACAATAAATATAAACCGTACAGCGTGGTTATAATGAGACTCTGGGTTTGGTGTCTGAAGCATTGAGTGCATTAATCAATGATGTTTGTGATGCTGCCATCCAGGTTGACCCAGCCTCTCCCCATTGGCTTCTGGGATAGGGTCCAGTCCCCCCCCACCCCATTAGGGGATTAGCGGTTAGCATAATGGACGGACGGCTGTTTGTGATGCTTATACATGAATGATAAACTTTTATATGGTGTCTGTCTTTATGATACAATGACAGAGAAGCTTGAATAGATCGCTAACAAACTCGTAATTAAGTCCCAAGTCCACAAAATGTGAGCCAAACCACATTTTGTGGACTTGGCAAGTAGAGCAGGTCCAAATAGAAGAGAAAGCTTGTTGTGGATCAGGTTCATAGTCAGGAGGAAATGTTAAGGGTTACAGAGGCAGTGGCTCAGGCTAAGCAGGGACAGTGGTAGATCTGGGAAGGACTGGAGAAGAAAAAGCTTAGCTGGAGAGAGAAGTGGAGCCAGGAGGATAGAAGGATTCGATTTTTTTAAAGGAGCAACTGAAATGAAACAGACATGATTTGGAAATGTTTCAGTAGATACTTTCGTAGACTTTTCTACTACCTGGCCTTGCTTCCGTCACAACTGGAGCCGTGCAGTTTAGGACTAACACCTTCTCCAAAGGTAGATGGAGTCAAGTCATGATCCTCCCAGCGGCCACTCCTAAGTATGCTGACCGAGAGGCCTTTGGCCCAGAGCATGATGCAGGTCTTATCCCCCTCCTGGAAAGAAACGACAAAGAGAAACAAGGAGAGGATTCGAGAGGTTTGAATGAAATCATGCAAATTGGAACGCATTTGTTCAAAATCTTTCCTTTTCAGTCATCACGTCCCATGAGGGGCAACCAATTCAAAATGACACATTAATCATGGTCCTGTTTTGGGGATTTTGTTGCCATTTAGGCTATTTGTTGCCAGTCTTTTCCCTGGATGTCTTGATGCCAAACTTGCCCAAACAGGAGTTTGTACCCCAACCAAAAAGGGGGAAAAAAGTTTTTTCTTTCAACAACAATCAGCCCACTTTTTTTATAAGCCACCTTAAAAATTACATAGCTGACATTTGTCACTGACTTTTTCTTTTGCAGTGACAATGAAAGAGGGATAAGTCACTATATTTACAGATTTAATACATACATACATTCGTTTCTTTTCTTTTTTACCCAACAGTAAAAAAGTCTGAAACATAACATCCCAACAAGAAGGCTGGAAATATAATGTTTCTTCACTCATGCTTTCTTAAAAGAATACAAAAAAAAGGTCACATCTGTGGAATATTTTCAAACTTCTCCAATTCCATTGCAGAGAGGGAATCTGTCAGCAAACCACTTTTCCATCAGACAGATCTATGTTGGGCGTTTCAAGTGAAAATCCTGAATTTCAATATCTTTGCGGTTTCTGTTATGCTTCATTCAAACACAGTTTGGTCATTCAGTTTACATTATTGTGTTTACATTATTCATATTTTCTTTTTTTCTGTTTTTTCCTTTTTTATTTTCTTATTTTTTAAATCTTTCCTTCACTTCCTTGTACTATTTTGTTAACACGCCCTGTAAATACCTTTATTTTTGCCTCTGCAGGCTTATTGTGTGTTTCTCTTTGTGCCCTTGTGTATTGTTTGCACTGCTGCTGTATTTTTTGTATTTTCTGCATTTTGCTCTCTGTGTGCCACTTTTTTTGCCCTGTAAGCTGCTGGTAACTTTAATTTCCTGAGGGAATCTTCCCAAAGGGATCAATAAAGCACAAATCTAAGTCTAAGTCCAATTTCCCCTCTGTGAAATCAATAAAGTAGTTGAGTCTACTCAAGCAAATGGGTTTTGAGTTCAGGTTAGCATGCATGAAAAAAAAAAAAAACCAAAAAAAAAAATCTTTTGGCAACTTAAATGTGTGAAAACCTTGGGACCACTTTAAGCCACAGTCACACAACAATGATAACCCACCTTAAACTCCACTGGATCGTAGATTCCGGCCCGTTCCTTGATCCTCCTCAACTTCTCCCGCTCTTTCTCTCTGTCTCTGTATCCACCTCTGCTCTGCAGGAGAGAGCGCCCTCCAGCCATGGTGCTGTCCATGGACAGAGAGGCTACCTCCTAACACAACCACCGGACAGATAAGAACGGGACATTTCATCATTTGTACCACGTCGAACTGTGATAATGAATATGACAAACCATTAGCGTTAACTCACCCTTGAGGGCCGCAGGCCGGTATAAATGGCCGTGTAGGGAACAGCCTGGGTCTTCATGATGCTCAGCACCTGACCAATCACCTCATCTGAAACACAGTCAAATGGTTATTTGGGTCATGGTCATCTGGACTAGTTGACCACCGGAGGGCTCGAGTGGCTCCAAGGCAGCTGGAGCTTCTTTTGAAAATAGAATAAATAAAAAACAAACATTTTTCCAGAAGATCAAACTTACAGGTCAATCAAATTAGTCAACAAAGTATCAAAATATACTCAAAACAAGAGACTTAAGACGCAAAAAGGGAAAGATAAAGTCAGAAATATTACGTGGAGACTTACCATTTTCACTGAGAATTCCCTTTGCTGACACCAGATCACCCCTGAAAGAGAGATATTTGAATTCTTGGGGAATTTCGGCGAGTTCAAAGTTGGGAAACACTAAAAAATACACTTTGGGATGCGCGCCGACATTTGTGGTGAGATGTGTTGCATCACTTCCTGTACCACTGACTCTGCCTTGCATCATTATCTCTGTTGGAAAGGCGGCCATTTGCCCTGAGCCATGGTTCTGCTTGAGGTTTCTGCCTGTTAAAAGGAAGTTTTTCCTTGCCTGTGTCGCCTAGTGCTTGCTCATGGTGGGAATTGTTGGGTTTCTGTAATTAACTTCAGAGTAGGGTCTGACCTGCTCTGTTTGGAAAGCGCTGTGAGACAAATGTTGTTGTGATGTGGCGCTATATAAATAAAATTGAATTGAATTGAACTTTAGTGGTTTTACTCTTCTAGCATCCTCACCTTTGTAGCTTAGCATGGTTACAAGCTAACTCCCCTGTTCTACTGCTTTCACTTATTTAGTCAATAGTTTAGTCAAAAACAATGACAGACTGAGTCAGTCATTGGACTCATGACCAGTAAATCCCCGTTGTTGAGCCGTGTGTGTACCATGTGTGTACCGTGTTTGTACCGTGTGTGTACCGTGTGTACCATGTGTGCCGTGTGTGTGCACCGTGTACCGTGTGTGTGCCGTGTGTGTACCGTGTGTACCGTGTTTGTACCGTGTGTGTACCGTGTGTGTGCCGTGTGTGTGCCGTGTGTGTGCCGTGTGTGTAACGTGCTTGTACCGTGTGTGTGCTGTGTGTGTACCGCGTCTGTATCGTGTGTGTACCGTGTGTGTATCGCGTGTGTACCGCGTGTGTACCGTGTGTGTACCGTGTGTGTGCCGTGTGTGTACCGTGTGTGTGCCGTGTGTGCGCCGTGTGTGCGCCGTGTGTGCCGTGTGTGTACCGTGTGTGTGCCGTGTGTGTACCGTGTGTGTACCGTGTGTGTACAGTGTGTGTACCG